AAAGAGTAGCCTATTTACGAAGTGGTGCAAAAGGTTACCAGAGCAGCTTTGATCTGGGACAGCAGCAGGAAGAGGCACAGCAACAGGTCCAAGAAGTGGTTCAAAGAATCCTGCCACTTGGGCCATATGATTGATTCAGGATTCAGTGAGCCTAATACTGTCTAATATATTAGGGATGGGAAGAAATGTTGTGTGGAATTTGTGGTCAGCTCCAGTTGGAGTATTACAATGAAGTCCCTTGGTTTTGTGAGCAAAGTAATGCCACATGCAGTGTAGAATTATAAACCTTTGAAAAAATAACTCCTGGTACACTGAGCAAGAAGAAATGACTGACCAAGAGATCATGATCAGACTACGTGGCCGTGTAACTGGAAATACCCATCATAACCTGGCTACCAACCCATTACATCATAAAGTCATGCTGCTCAATAACAATCTATTACAAATGAAATGGTCCATCCAAATGGAACAGACAATGCTCTCTTGAGAATTCCTCATCTTGCTGACTGAGGCTTTGTGGATCCTGCATTGCAGGTCAATTACTCCATTTTCCTAGGCTGTTTCCTTCTCCTCCTTTAAAAGGTGTTGATCCCTAATAAACACCTTGAACCTCAGTCTCCATTTAAAAGCTTCTTCTGTAGATGCATATTATTGAAAGCGGGCTATGTAATGGATTTACACTATAAAGACTCAATCATAAGGTGCTTTCCATTCTCCCACCTCTACCAAATTTTACCATTCCCTCTAATCTCATACACTTTTGCCACATGAAATACTAAGATGAACGAGGCATACCAGGTCCACTCACAGAGTTTATAAGCTAGGGGAGAAGATAAATCACACGATTAAAAGAAATATAATATAATATGATATACTATATTTAAAAATATGTAGTTCAATATAATATAAGAAATACATTGTTGTTTCCTTGTCACTCATTCTGGGGCAAGAGAGAATTTTAGTGTGAGAGCACTTCAAGAAAGAAGGATTGGACTGGCTTCATGGTCTAGTGGTTAAGTTCAGTGCATCTGCTTTGGTGGCCCAGGGTTGTTCCCAGGTGCAGAACTACGCCATTTATCAGTGGACATGTAGTGGTGGTGACCCACAAACAAAATAGAGGAAGATTGGCAATAGATGTTGGCTCAGGGCGAATCTTCCTCAGTATTAAAAGAAAAAACAATGATTGTGTAAGTACATTGTTGGATGGCCAGGGTAACAGGGGAATGCTGTTAAAAGGACCTAAATTTGTCTGATGGGAAAAACGTAAGTAAGGTTGAAGTGTTACTTTTAAAGAAAATCATAGAGACTCAATAGGTGTGTCTAACATAGAAAGTTTAGGTCAAAACTATGTTAAATATTCCAACAATAAATTATTGATGTAAATTTTACAGTAAACATAACTATGATTAAGCACCTCATATTTCACACTTCTATAAGCATAAAGCATTTGTTATTCTAATGAACAGCTTTACAAAAATGGTATATCTCTTTACTAAGGAAAAACAAATGCCAGACACACATATCCTTAGAATGTTAGGAATGGTCCCAATGGGATTACCCAGTTGCCTCCTGACTACGAATTGCATTTATGCTTTCCTCTCAATCACATATTTACATTCATGCCTGTTATTCAAATAGGGGACTACACAACAGAACACTAAAAACTTGGGTTTTTATACATAAAATGAGATCACATTGCCGTTTGAGATACAAAGTATAAAGTCAGCGTTAAATAAATCAGATTACAAACGTACACTTAATCTTAAGGAGAAAGGATGGCACCAGTCCGGCAACAGGAAGTTGTATGGAAAATTGAGTGGACATGTTCCTAACATCCCGGAATTTTCCAGTATGATAATTCAAAAAGAGAAAAAAGAGACAGCAAATACTACACAATTGAGAAGAGGCCAGGCACACCCTACAGGGAAGAAAAAGAAAAGGCTGAAGTGGCTCTGAAACCTCAGCCACAACACTCCAACCTCCAAGATCATTGCCCCCACTTCTCCTTATAAGCAAAAAACTACAGGGAAGAAGAAAATCCTATCCGCGGAGCAACGTGTCTTCCATCTAGGAGAGAAGGTGCTTGGTGCCTCTTCCCTGCCAGTAAGTAGAGATCACTCAAAGGGATGAGCAGATCCACCCGATTTGTCAGCATGAGGTGGGAATGGGGGAGTCTGGCATTTCCATCCTCATTTGGACTTCTGTTTTCACAGAAGATTAATCTGTCTTCTGAAATAGGAAAGCCACGAGGCAGTCTACGTTCTTACATTTTAGCTTAATAAGGATATCCAACTTTTCTCCAGGTCAAGTGGACACTGCATAAAATTGTTGGGCTACAGTTACACTCAAAACAAAACTTGCTGATTATACGGGTGAGGATGTGTCAAAGGAGGTCAAGAGGAGCAGTGTCCCAGCTGAGGGAACTGTATCTCCAAAAAGCTGTCTGATGTGGTTGCACTCCACATACGTACCCTCAGAGGGCAGGTACTTAGATGTCCGTGCCACAGAGAGCATAGGTGGCAGAAACAGCCCCAAAAGAACTACAGCACTGGAAAAATATGAGGTATTTGACTACTTTTCTCTTCCCTAGAGAAGATGTAGTTCATGCCACCTCCCCACTCTCAGCTTCCCAAGATAAGGTCCAGCTGTCATGGGTGTCAGAGAAAATGTGAGTGCTAAATTGGACTTCTTAAATTTTAGACTATGCAGGACTCAACTGCATGTATTTGTACTTGAAGATGACCACAGACTATTTGCCAAAGATGTTAGATAACAGAAAGAGAGATTCAAAAAGAATCCGTGAAAGCAGTATTTAGATTTTAACAGTCACGTTTGTATGACACTGAGTTGAGATCATGCAATGGTTTGGTCATAGGACTGTAACCTGATTTAATGTACATATTAAAGAAGAGTAAGCCATGGAAACAGAAAAAAAAAAGTATCAATGGAGATATTTTCCTCACGTGAAATTGAAAAACCCCAGCCATAGAACTTTGAACATTTTGGTCTCATTGGCAAGCTTTAAGCTGTCCTGGTCTGAGGGCAGTAAACATTCTTTTCATGTAACCTCCTTTATTGATATTCATGGCTCACTCAACAAGTTTCTGACTCATGTTTTTTTCCTACATAATTTACCCACATGTAAAGATGTATATATACATTCATATATACACTGAATGTTTAATTTCTGGGACAGTGATTTCTCATTGTAAATTAACAAATGTTCTTTGTTATTGTTATTATATATTAACTTTATAAGCATGGAAATCTGCTTCTGAGATTGGGGTACAAAGTCAAGTTTTTGAACTTGATTGACTTGGCCAGATTAAAGCCATCATAAATTCTCCATGATGTTGCAACTTTGTAAGAAGTCTTGGAAAAATCTGTTAACCTTCTCCCTGAGGGTGGACGGCTGTGGTGGGGCAGTATTATTGTGCCAAGTTTGATTTTTATAATGTTTGGAATTAACATTACTTTTCTTTCATGGTTGTGCTTGAGCACCCACTTCTAGCATTCTGCCTTGTCAGAAATAATTCATTTTCTCTTTTTGTCTCTTACCTTTCACCCTCTCTTGCTTTTTCTCTCTTAAAAGAATATCATTCCTGCATCTGGGATAATAATTTCTTTTACTAGAGTCCTTGAACTCACTCACTCATTCTTTCTGGGCACTATCTTTATAAATCTTCTCTCCTGAAGTACAGAACATGTGCACGAAAACGTTGCCTATCCAAAATCTCTCATCATTATAAGAGCTGACCTGTTTGGCGGCATTATTTGAAGCATGTGGTAAATAATTAATGACGAATAATATTTCTGACACTTCTATTAAAAACCTGTAGTTATTCTCAGTAAAAACTGAACAAGCATGTGTTCACACAGGTGAGCCCAGAATGATTTTATCTGTTCTGTTTCCATTGTCCACCAGGATAATTCTTCACAGGAAGGTTCATGTCTTTTATAGAATCCTTACACCATTTGTGTTAAGAGCAAGACAAGGCAAGCAGAGGAGGGATACTATGAAGCAATGATTTCCTTACTATCTTGTACTGTTTTTTTGGGTCACTCAACAGACTTCTATGTCCCAACCAACAGAGTCCAACTGGTAATTTATTATTATTTCCTACTTTACTTTCTTTTCCTTTTAATGAGAAAACAAATCACATTTTCACTACATGATGAAATTCTACATAAGTGAAAAGAAGTGCTGTAAATTGTTTAACTTCTCAGAATTAGCTAATTCTATTACCGAAAATGCCATGATTGGTAGTAAAATGTTGAGTTTTCAAAACACCATTTTTTTTGAGGAGGAGGAAGATTAGCCCTGAGCTACATTTGCTGTTAATCCTCGTCTTTTTACTGAGGAAGATTGGCCCTGAGCTATCATCCATGCCCATCTTCCTCTACTTTATATGTGGGACGCCTGCCTCAGCATGGCTTAACAAGCAGAGCCATGTCCATACCCGGGATCTGAACCGGTGAACCCCAGGCCGCCGAAGCAGAACGTGTGAACTTAACCACTGTGCCACTGGGCCAGCCCCTCGAAACACCACTTTGAAATAAATTTTAGTAGACAAGATGAATTTTTATAGCTGGCTTCCTGAAAACATATATAAGACATCTGCATTTTACAGTATGACTTTCACATCTACGTAAGGAAGAAATGTTATTAATAAGTGAAAAACAATCATATCTTTTAGAATATTCTGCCATCAAATCTAACATTTTGCAATTGTTTTTCCACCACTCAAATTTCAAATATTAATTTTTTTCCATCAAATTGAACTTTCGGGATTTTGCTAAACTCTTACATCATTACTAAAGATAGAAACTTTTCCGTTATTAAAGTTATTGTCAAGAAGAATAGGGCAGTGGAAATATCTTCCCAACACTACCTTATTAAAGAAAAAATGTACACGTTGAAGGAAAATAAAAAGCTGTTGACACAGGCATATTGAAGATCAGCCTGAATGAACCAACACACTTTGAAATCATTGACTCACTTTGAACTCCATGGGAGCGTACTATTTTCCAGGTTTCTGAAGCCACTTCTTTGACATCTACTTGATAGTGATGGATAGGCACACCTCCATGGGAGTCGGGCTTGTTGAATGAAACCTTGGCTGTGGTCTGTGACAGCTCTATAATCTTCACTCCGTAGGGACTGGATGGCACATCTACAAAGGATCAAAAACAAAGGAAATATAACCCAGGTAATGTGGACAGCCATTATTAAGACTTATGGTGCTCTGAGAATTAGGAAGAAAAGAAACTCCCTACCTTTGTCACAATATGTTTGAATTACAAAGCTTCCATAAACCGCTGAATGATCTCTTCAAATTGTTAGGAACTATACACTAGTTAGTCTTTATTACCATAACAAGTAAAGAGTGAAATATTCAATATTAAATTTCATTCATTTAAAGAATAATTTTACTTCTCCCTTTTCTATACAATATAAACATTCTATTTACATTCAAGGAAAACAAGCGTGTGTGTGTGTGTGTGTGTGTGTGTGTGTATGAAAGAGAGAGAGAGACAGAGAAAGAATGCAGGTATAATTAAAATATAAGAAGAAATAAAAATTTTATTAAATGTGAAGTTTATAAAAAATGTCATTATGTTCCAAATAAAACTTCAAGCTATCTGTTTTAATTTCATCTATGTATTATTTAATTAAAATAAACCTTTAGCTGAGATACCTGTTTTACTCCTATATTTAAAAATCACTATAAAATCTTTCTTGTGTGTGTTTTTGTATCAAATTTTTCCTATTTTGTATTACTCACATTATTTCAAGCTCAACAAGATATCCTGGGTGGAACTTTATTTTCTTTTCTAGTATACAAAACTTTACAAAGAATTATCTGAAAGGCTGAACAGCAAAGAGGAGAAAATGAGAGAGAAGAAAAGTCTCAATGAGGGAATCAATGAAACCCCTGCTCCAAAAACATGAAGAGTTAGAGGCATGCTAAACTTTAAAGGAATCCATCTGTACCCTTGTCTGTGTCTCGATCTCTCTCTCTTTCTTTTCAATATTACATTTGCAATTATCATGATGTTTGGAAATTTACATATAACCTGTAAATTATATGCATATATTATATATTCTATAAATGTATAAATAAATATATAATTTCATCTCTGGAATTAACTTTACAAAAACAAACAAAGAACTTGATTAAGAATAATGCAGTAAATGTAAACTTCTCTTCTGATATAATAAACATTCATATAAATATCTCCAATGCTTGTCAAAAGTCAAATGCCTTATTTACTAGAGTTTAAAGAGAATAATGCAGATCAGATAAAAATATGCCTTATAAATAGTACTAGGCAAGAGCCAGGAGGGTGGGTTTATGGCCTTTTGGATGTGAGTAAGGCAAAGAAATGCAACACTGCATTACAGCTCTAATTAGTGACTGTAAATTACTTGAGATCCTATGAAATGCATTATGTTATAACTCTAAGGTTTGGAAATAAATGTGCAGAATACTGATGCACCCAAAGTCAAATTGCTATTAAAATCTTATCTGGAAATAAAAATTTTAAATTATCTAAATAGTCTATTTAAGCTGTTATACATAAAGATTATCATGGTTTTCATGTTTCTTTAATTCATAGGTTATAACTGTAGGTTCTTTTCGTCTTTAGGTTTGATGTAAAGTTAGCAGAGGAGGTAAAAAAACAAGCTGAGTGACTCTCTAATGTCAGCTAGGTCTAAGTAGGGCATCACAGCAATTATAATCTTCTGTCTGAGGACACATTTCACAAGGAAAGGTCCCAAGTACTGGGGGAGGAGGGAGAGCTGTGGCTCCTCATGGGCTCCTACCTTTGACCATAGGGCATGCACATGGTCCTCGGTTCTTACCCTGTTCATAGAGGTACGTACCATTGGTTAAGCTGGATGCCTCAACATGGTACACCTACTGAGATATAGCCTGTTTTTTCTTAGTGCAAAGGTATCATCGCCAAAACATGGGCCAGTGGGTATCTTTTTCTAGGCACAGAGTCTATTTTCAGACCTGTTCACTCTTATCCTGGCTTTTTGTCTATATTTATATCCTGTTGGCTTCTTATTTCTGTTACCTGACCAAATGGAAAAACATGCTTATGACTTGCATCTCTAGCATCTTCCTAAACGTTTTTTTTTTTTTTTACATTATGATTTTATACATCCAACCACCTACTGACTACTAAACTATTACATGCTTATACATGCATCCATACAGATGTACATGTAACATTGAGAAAAATGACTGGAATATACTTAGTCCTCAGGAAATTTATGATAAATTAAATATTTTAGTAATTAAAAATAGCATACAAAGACACAGAACATGTCCAAGTGAATAGTGTCTGATATGCCTAGAATCTCTAATTCTTCTCTCCATCCTCTCAATTGTTTTATAATCACATTCATCCTTGAGTCTATCTCTTACATAATTACAATTAGTCAGGAAGTTATTTTCATCTTTCCTGCATTATAATTCTTGTATCCATCTCGTCCTTCCTGTGTCCACTTTAACTCCCAAGCCCAGGCCCTATCTGCCTCTGCCTGTACTGCCATTAGTGGCTCTCAGCTTCCTTTTCTATTGGACATCCCACCAAATTTCAATCCATATGGTGCATAAATGCAAAATCAATCTTTCTAAAGCACCACTTTAATCACGTCACTTCCCTGAGGAGGATATTCAGGAGCTTTCTCCTCTTTACAATATCAAGCTTAAACTTTGCAATCTGCCTTTCAAGATCTTGAGTTATCTAACCTCAATGGGTGTATGCAAACAGAGGGTCATAGTGTGAAAGACTATCAAACACAGCTCAATGTTTCAAATGAGGCTTGTGCATATTGACTTCTATACACAATGCTCCTCTCATTGTTAGCATAATTTTATAAACTACTTCCTAGCACCTTCTATCTCAATAATTAATGAATGCCACTCATCACTGAATGAATAAAAATAACGACAATTGTGCAAACACATATTTGTTTACATACCCTTTCTTTTCACCTCTATTAGTACCAGTCTAGTACTGGAATTAAGAGCCTGGATACATATCATCAGAATCTATGGATCCAAAGTCTGGCCTTGCTACTTTTGTCAACTGCAATCTTAGACAAATAAATGCCTTAATCTTTTCAATCATTGGTATTTTTTTCTCTAAAATGGAGATTAGAATAATACCCACAGCTATGCTTGTTCTGAGCATCAAGTAATGTAGAGTACTTACCTGAAATATACTAAGCACTTAGTAAATATGAGTCATTGTAATTTTGCTATCTCTCCCTGATAACCATACTCCTTCTGTGACATTATTGTGTATCCATTGACATCTATCAACATTTTAGTCAAACGGAAGGTAATGGATACAATATTGAGGTTCAATTTAGTAATGCATGCTGTGTCTAACAGCAAAGAATTGGTGCTATGATCTAGGAGTCAGATAGAAACAATCTTGGAGTTGTTGCATGACCCTCAGCAAATTAAACTGGTTGGGTATTAGTTTCCACAGAAGTAAAATGGTAACAACAATACCAACCTTAAAGTTGTTGTTCTGAGGATAAGTTGATGGATATAAATCACTGGACATTCACTAATATTATTTTGACTTATCCTTTCTTTAAAATGGCTGCTAGTGTATAAATAATGTTGATAAACATGCTGATATTTATACAAACGCCTAAAGTTATAGTTCAATCAAAGCATAAATACTAAAACTTATAAAAAGTCAGCCTTGGTAATAATTTTATCTTGTAACAGGTAGAGGAACAATGGGAGGAGTTCCTCCTCTGACTTTAATTCTGATAAAATATAAGAATACAATTAAATAAAGAGTAACTAGCAAGTAAAGGGGAAGTGCATGAAGCCTCATGGAAAGAGAAGAGGGCAATAATCAGATATACACATAGAGGTCTGGAAACAAATTCAGAATAGTCCGTCAAATATGTTCCTCTGTCAAACAAAAAAGAATCCCAAAGTGAAGATACTTTCTATAAAGTAAAATTCTGAAGGTATATGTCCCAAAATACTCATGTGGAAGAAAAGGAAAGGAACTAATAAATATAATGTGACTGCAAAGCAGATCTTGGATGAGTAAAATTTTTAATAAAATTTCAAAATGAAGACGAATCACAGAATTACAAAACAATATTTCCTCCGGCTTTAGAATAAGCTAAGAGTATAATACGCTGAAGACAACAGCAAAATGGATGAGTTGTATGTGTGTGTATGTGTTTTAGTTCTTCACACTCTCTTCCTCAATTGCATCAATTCTCAGCAAATAATAGATTCAATATGAAAGGGAAAATGGATCTCATCAAGCAAGGTCACTCAAATTGTGCCCTATCACCTCTGGATGAACCTATAATGGAAGTGTACCCTGCTCTTTTCCAAGGCTAAGCCCTCCATCTCTGAATGGCAGTTCTTGAACTGTTCTGCAGAGTACTGCATCATCAGAAAGCCTATCTCTTCTCTTTTCTTCTCATTTGGGTTTTTAGTCTCTTTTTCTTCTCTGTCCTAATACCATGAACTAGAAAGATCCTGCAAACAACAAACATTCTGCAATCCTACTCTCTTCTCAGGTAACAAACTCTTCTTTTGTTTCCCTGTCATTCTGTTTGAATATGTTGTTCCTAATTTCTGCCCCAGCATCTTTATTTCTTCTGAGAATTTGGTTTCCTAGAATGTTGGGAAACTGGCAACAAAAATTTAGTTCAGAGACCCTGACTCAGCTGTTACCCCACAGATGAGGATGTGGTATTGCTAAACTTAGATCAATTGGAAGAGTTTGATATTTGTAAAGTTTCCTTTAAGTGGAAGTATTTAAGTGAATTATTATTCCAGGATATTGTTTTAAACCCTATCCTAGATATTTTCTATTGACCATCCACATCAATTGCTATCATGTAAGCTACTCCCCTTTATCATAAGGAGTGAGAAGGCTCCTTTATCATAAGATCTGCATTTCCCAGACTCACTTTCTGCTATGATTCTAAGTTCCATGGAGGCACTCAAGGAGTGTGAATGGCATTCCCACTTTTCTGAAAAGGTGCGTATGGACAAGAGGACCTGCAGATGTGAATGATGCTTAGAGCTGGACTTATTCCACAGTCCAGTCACACAGTTTCTGGTGCAGGGTGGCTGTGATGTCAGCAGAGAGGTAACTTGGCAGA